CCCTATCTTATGTGATGGGCAGACCGTTGAGGAGCACTCCCTATCTTATGTGATGGGCAGACTGTTGAGGAGCACTCCCTACCTTAATTCATTTGTTGGGCTTGGCACATGCCTGACCCTAACGCTGTCATTCCTTCTTAGCTGCTATGGTTTTCTGAAGATAGGCTTTACTTAGCAGATAACTGCTGCTCTGCTTCTGATAAATAGCTTTCTCTCACCACTCAGATTTGATACAAAAAGAACACTTGTTTACAATCCACTGTGTACTTAGCTGTACATTCTCATAAGAAAAGCAAAACAATGCTTGTTTTTTTTCTTTATACACAACACTTCAAAACACTGAACAGCTTCCAGTATAAATATTTTTATATTAGTATAAATTCATAAATTCAAATATAGCATCATTATGTATGTCAATCTGTTATATTATGATGCTTGATAATGCTAGAACACCTCATCTCTAATCAACAGAATCCTTTTCAAGCTGTACTGTACTAAATTAAATGTGTTTATTAAGTGTAAACATGCTATGTAAATCCAAGATCAAATTATAAAAGAGACTGCTTTCAATCTAAAAATGTGGAAAATATTAAAATATGTGACAGAAGTAAATGATAGCATGTATGCTTTATGAAAAAATGTGGTATGGGTATATGAATAACAAACAAATATTCAATTGAAAGTTTATTTATAGAAGGACATTTGTGGGCCAGAGAGACAGCTGAGCGGTCTAAGTGCCTTCCTGGCAAGCACAGAGTCCCCAGTTTGATCCCTGGTATTGCATGCTGTGCTGGTCCCATTGCCTAGCCAACCTCCCAAACCAGGTGTGGTGGTGCATGCCTCTAATCCCAGTGCTGGGAGGCTGAGCCAGGAGGATCACTAGAGTCTGAGTTGCATAGTGAGAGTCCGTACCAAATAAATGTATAAACGAGTAAATAATTTTTAAAAATTAAAAACAATGAAATATAAAAGGACATTTTAGAAGGAATATATCAAATCTAATCAGATGATGTGAAATATTGAACTTTTATTAAGATTTAAAATATAGAGAGCACAATCATAGATTTTAAAACATTCAAATCAGTGGGGATATAAATTAAACATGAGAGCTAAACTTTTATCACAGCTCTCTTAGTAACTGAGTGAAGAGACAATTGACATGCAAATTTTGGAAGGAATACAGATGTTGACCATGGAATGAATTGGCATGCGTAAGACACTGCATCCACAAGTGCTCAACATAGTTCCCTTGAAGTACATGAAACGTGGTGGAACTGGCTGAACCATGAGCCACTCCCCTAAAAAAATCATGTCCATACAGAAAATCAAAATGTGCCCTTATTTGAAAAATAGGACCTTGTGACCAAATGGCTTAGCATGAGGTCACACTCAACTTGCTAGGTCTGGCCCCGATGCCAGGTGTTCTTGTAGAAGAGGAGAGGGCCCGATGCCTGGTGTTCTGGGAGAGGAGGAGAGGGCCCAATGCCTGGTGTTCTGTTAGAGGAGAGGGCCCGATGCCTGGTGTTCTGGGAGAGGAGGAGAGGGCCCGATGCCTGGTGTTCTGGTAGAGTAGGAGAGGGCCCAATGCCTGGTGTTCTGGTAGAGGAGGAGAGGGCCCGATGCCTGGTGTTCTGGTAGAGGAGAGGGCCCACTGCCTGGTGTTCTGTTAGAGGAGGAGAGGGACCAATGCCTGGTGTTCTGTTAGAGGAGGACAGGGCCTGATGCCTGGTGTTCTGGTAGGAATGGAGAGGACCCTGGTGCCTGGTGTCCTGTTAGGAGAGGAGAGGACCCAATACCTGGTGTTCTGGTAGGAGAGAAGAGGGCCTGATGCCTGGTGTCCTGTTAGGAGAGGAGGAGAGGGCCCGATGCCTGGTGTTCTGTTAGAGGAGGAAAGGGCCCGATGCCTAGTGTTCTGGTAGAGGAGGAGGGGGCCTGCTGCCTGGTGTTCTGGTAGAGAAGGAGAGGGCCTGCTGCCTGGTATTCTGGTACAAAAGGAGAGGACCCTGATGCCTGGTGTCCTGTTAGGAGAGGAGAGGGCCTGCTGCCTGGTGTTCTGTTAGAGGAGGAGAGGGAACAATGCCTGGTGTTCTGGTAGAGGAGGAGAGGTCCCAAATCCTGGTGTTCTGGTAGAGGAAGAAAGGGCCCAATGCCTGGTGTTCTGGTAGAGGAGGAGAGGGCCTGCTGCCTGATGTTCTGATAGGAGTGGAGAGGTCACAAAGAACACAGCACACAGAGGCAGATGGGTGAGTACCAATGAGGCAGCCATTTGTTCCCTGGGTTTTAAGCTGAGAAGTGCTTCATGGCGTCATAAGCCGATGGACAGACAATGAAGAAGCTTGTCCTACAGATTTCAGGGATAGCACTGTCCTGCCAACAGCTTGGTTTTGTACATCTGTCTCCCAGATGTGTCAGTGAATATGTCTCTGCCCTTTCAGTGAGGGTTTCCTTAGCTGATGAATGCACAATGCTTGGAGCAATTTGCTTTTGCCTGTGAAGGTCAGCAGTACACTCTCGCTGTTCTTCGCTTTGGGCATTGTAGTTCTCTAGCTCTATGTCAAAATTGAGTCTACAGAGATCTTGATTGTCTCTCAGGATCCTTCCATATTCTAGGTCATAAATTTCTACTATCGTAAACATCATATAAATATACCTCCGGTTATTATGGACTCTTCTGTGGAAGGACATCTCTTCCCTTTTTCGCTACCGAGTCTGATTTTTCCCACTAGGGTTTGCATCTGGACTTGTACTGCACAGAGAATACTTGAGCAGGAGCAGTCCCCAGCCTACTGAAGGGACTGTCAGGAGTGTAAACTCCCAGGACACAGGATGCTCTATCCTGCCCCATGGCTTTCCTGGTGTTCTGGTAAGAGAGGAGAGGGCCGGGTCTCTGACCAGGTCTCTGTTTATTTTGCCGCCTTCATTTGCATGCTCCCTGAGAAGAGAATGCTGGGCTCCTTGCACTATAAATTCTTGGGTGTTTGGCTTCTCCAGGTGAGCAACTAGGAGGCATTCAAGTCTTCCTTTGGTTATTTATTTATGTGGTTAAATTTCTCTCACAAGAATGGAACCAGTGAAACAGCAGCACCCTATTAATCCCTGTTTCTCTATTCACCCACGTTTTGAGAGTGTGTTAAATCTAGACCAATAAAAATTCAAACCCTCATTATTGTGGAATTCCTGTAACTTTTCAAGTTTTCTCATCACTTGAGACCCCTGCTCTACTTTCCATAGGTGTGTGGCAGTATTATGTATTATTATAGCGTTGAAAGGAGTCTGAATTTTCTCAGGGCAAGTTCCTTCCCCGTGCTTTCACTTCTCAGTTCTTTGAGTACTTTCTGCCATGGTCCATGCAATTGTAGAATCAGTTTGCTTAGTATTAGAAAAATCTGGTGATGTAGAAAAATATTGAGTTTACAAATTAAGCTTCAAAATAAAAATATTTATGGTATTGACCCTTGTCACTCATACACATGGGATGTTGCATTTACTCAGGACTCTTGTGATAGAATCAATAACATTTAAAATTTATATTTTTTCTATAGTTTAGGACAGTGCACACCCTTTTTTGCATTTACTCTGAACTATTATATAATTATGATTGTTTTCATATTTTGACAGAGAGACTTCCTGGGGTCTTTTAGATTTTATCTTTTTAGGTACTGTATTTTAATTATTAGATTTAGTAATATAATTTAGTAATTAAATTAAATTATTAATTATGTAATTAATTATTAACTAAATTATTAAATTTAGTAATTTAATTTAGTAATTATTAAATTTAGTGTCAGGATATGCAAATAGTCTAGTAGGAAAAAATAGAGTCTAGGAACACACCACATGTACATGGGCCCTTGGCTTACGAAAAGGTGGCTTCATATACATCTTAGTGGAAAGCGTAGTTTCCTCTGCAAATGATCGGCGGCAGGCATGTGGCCAAACATAAAGCTTAAAAAAAAAAAAAGGAACTTGACATTACTTCAAATCAATCATGCACATTTATTTCAAATGATAATGGTTGATCTCAGGAAACAGTAAGAAACCTAGCTCTTAAAAATAAAGGGAGACTCTATGACTGCAATAGGCAAAGATTTTTTCTTAACATGAGACAATTCACTAACCTTAAAGAGACAAACTGATGAACTTAAAAATTAAATGTAAGAACTTATACTGAACAGTAACACCAGCCACCAGTAGATAGTGGGGGGAAAACTACCAAAGAGGGGATATATTTGAAAATTACCTAATCAATAAAATGCTCATATCTAGGACATGTGAACAACTGTCACATGAAAAGGACAGACAACACTCCCAAAAATGTAAACCATAAAATGACCCTAAACAGGACATCTGAATGACCACTAAATATATGAAAAGAGGTGAGCACTCACTAGCAAGCAGCAAAGTGTAAATTAAACCTAAGGAAGTATCAGCCTAAGTGATTCAAATTAAATTTTGTAGCTATACAAAATACTTGCTTGTGTCTACCCCACTGCCAAGCAATTGCACTCGTGAGAGTTTGCATCAGCATTTCACTCTGCACACGCAGAAAGATGAAACATTGTTCAGAAGACAATAGCTGCAAACCATGCACAAGTCCCTCAAGTGCGGAACAGGTGGTATCTTCCTTTGTTGCAGTCTTATGTCACAAGGAAAATCAAGGAAGTATTATAGACACTCACATGGATTTACCTCGTGAAGATGATACTGGACCACAGAAGCCCAGAGCAAAGGTAAGGCCGGCCTGATAGCTCAGTGGACAGAGTGCAGCGGCCAGGATCCGACCCCCAGCATCTGTGTCAGCCCTGGCCCCGCCCTGGGGCACTGAGATGGTGATTGAGACTGGGTGGTGGTGCACGTCTGTAATCCCAGCACTTGGGAGGCTGTAAACAGGAGAATCACTATGAGTCTGATCTACACAGTGAGACCCTAAACACCCTGTAGACCCTGCCCTAAATACAGAAGAAAAAAAAAAAAAAAGAACAAAGCCAAACATTGTGATCCTGTTGTGGACAGCTCCCTGCGGGCAGGATGAGACATGCATGGTTGTCTTTTCCTTCATGCCAGTGGTGCTGAAATCCCCAGACATGGATTTTTGTCTTTGTAATTTTACCCCATGTAGGTACTCGCCACCACGTCCACCCCAGTTAGTGTGAGAGAGGCACTGGTGGTTAGATCCAGCCACTGACAAGCAACTCCTCATGTGGAACTGAGGGACACAGAGCTAGATGGTTGCTTTTAACAGGACTCTGGCAATGACGTAGAGTTTGAGTTAAAAGAGAACAGCAGAGTCAGGAGGGCTTCCAGTCAACAGTCATGACAGGCCAGGAGGACATGGCCAGCCTTCCATCTGGGTCAGTCCAGAACAGGCATTGCCATGCACATGTAACGGAGCTCCTGACTCTTAGAAAATAAATCAAAAGTATATACTAAGCCCAAATATCTACCTCCTTCCATAGAGAGAATCCCTCTGCATGCCTATGAAAATAAGTATTTATGCCTCATACCCCAACAGAAATTGACTTACTCCATCTCTGGACTATTCATTTTCTGGAGGGAGAAAAACATGACTGATTTGTCTTAATGAATGTCTGTTCCATGATATGCACTCAAGAAGTGCTGCATGACTGAATGGATGACAGGAAGCTAGCAAGGGAAAAACAAGGAGAGAAGGACAAGGGGGAAGAAAGGACATAAGTGTTCTCAGCCCACACAGTTGTCCCTTGGAGCCATGTTCTACCCCAAGACTCTCTCTCACCGACCACCCTTCACAGGGCTGCCCGTCTCTGCCACAGCCTCCGCAGGGCGTCTTTCACATCCTTGTTCCACAGACTGTAGATGAGGGGGTTGAGCATTGGGATGACCAGGGTGTAGAAGATGGAGACCACCTTGCCGTACTCCATGAACTCCACAGCCCCTGGCTGTGCATACATGACAAACACTGTCCCAATGGATAGGGACACAGCTGTCATGTGGGAGCCACAGGTGGAGAAGACCTTTTGTCTCCCTGAGCCCAAGAGCATCTTGAGTATGGTCACTGTAATGTAGCCATAGGAGATGAGGATCACAAGAGTGGTGCCCACAATAATGAGCCCACAGATGCCAAACATGACCAGCTCATTGAGAGCTGTGTTGGCACAGGCAAGCTGCAGCAGTGGAGGAACGTCACAGAAGTGGTTGATGCTGTTGGAGTGGCAGGAGGGGAGCTGGAATGTGAGGCTGGTCTGCATGATGGAGTTGAGGCAGCCTCCGCAGTAGGTTCCCATCACCAGACAGGTACATCTCATGGGGCACATGGTCATGCCATAGCTCAGGGGGCTGCAGATGGCTATGAAGCAGTCATAAGCCATTACCCCCAGGAGAAAGCCCTCCGTGGTGATAAGTAAAGAGAAACAGGAGATCTGAGTAACACAGCCAGCAAAGCTGATGACCTTGGCAGAGGAGAAGAAGTTGGCCAGGGCATTGGGTATGATGGCAGATGAGTAGCAGGCAACCAGGAAGGACAGGTTCTTGAGGAAGAAGTACATGGGAGAGTGCAGCCGGGTGTCCAGGGTGATGACTGCGATCATGGTGAGGTTGCCCAGGATGGTCACAGCATACAGGACCAGGAAGACAGCAAAGAGCAAGGCCTGGGTCTCCACACCTCCCTGGAATCCCACCAGCACAAACTCTCGCAAGGGCACTATTGAGAGATTTCCATTTCTGTGGGTCATCATGCCCTGAGCTGGGACAGCGGGGCTGAGAAGCAAGTAAGAAGAGCAAGGCCACAGTGTACCACGATCACAATCTTATGGAGCAAGGAACCCATCAGTGCCTTGTTGCCCATGGCCTGGAGGCTGCTGCGTCCTGGGTCCCCTTGCAGACGAGCTCACTGTGCCTTGAAAGAGGAAATGTCCTCTGACTTAATACTCGAGCCTGTGTAGGGGACTTTGCTTTGTGGAATGCAAGGATGTGCCCAGAGCTGAGTGGCTGTCAGTGCTAGGACAATGTTCTGGGGTGGCACTGTGTCTAAACTGTGCCTGCTGCAGGACAGCTTTCCTGTGCCCCTTGAGGGAGGCTGCTCAGCAGCACCACTGTGCACATCCTGCCCAGGCTCAGCGACTTGCTCCCCACCAGGAAATGGCAGTGAGGAACACCTGTCTACGGGCTCTCCCCCAGCGACTGCATCATCCCTGGGAGTGCTGGGAGTGCCTGGAGGTTCCACCCACCCACCCATGCACAACCCCCTTGCTTCCCATTCATTCAAAGCCTCTCCCCATCCCTGAGCCCTCGGGAGCCTCTGCTGGTGGCAACTTTCCTCCTCTGAGTTTTGCCAGCTGTCTGGAGCAGTCTTTTTCCTCCCTTGAACTTGGCTCAGTAACAAGTGGTATGATGTGGAGAAGGAAGTGTCCCATGCCCTCTCAGCCCACACCTCATCAAAGGGGTCTGTGACAGCCCAGGCACGCAGATCCAAGGCGAGGGTGAGGAGCGGACGGGTCTCAGCCGGCCAACACGTGGAGTAGAAGCGGAGAGACAAAGTTGGGGCTGAGCCACCCTGGCAGGGTCCCTTGTGTCACAGGTCTACCAGCTGGGGGCATTGTATGAGGATGGTTGCTGCCCTGCAGGCTTTGGACAGCAGCTCAGGTGGCACCCCAGGTCCAGCTACCTTCAGATCCCCAGCCATCTGCCTCTGAGCCACCCATCCCCTTGTCCTACATGGGAGGGACCCCGTCACCCGGCTGGCCCATCTTCCCACCACCCATCTGCAAGTCCCAGAAGGTTCTCAACTTCGTTACCCTGGCTATTTCCCAGGACAGAGCCTCACTGGGGCCTCAAGTCACCCACAGTGACCACCGAGAAGCCTGGGCCATGCCTTGGGGCTCTGGGCACATCTCCCTGCACAATAAGCTCACCATTTGTTTTGGAACAAAAAGCACACAGCACCTGCTTCTGCTTAGGTGACCAGGCTGAGTGGGTCCACACCCTGGGCTGATGACCATTGTGCTGGATGGGGTGGAGGAGCTGAGTTCTCCAGCCCTGCAGTGGCTCTGTCTCATGCCCACAGTGTAGACTCAGACCTGCAGTGAGGGTGTGGGCCATGCCAGGTGGACACTGGGAGCCGACCACAGCAGGACCCACATCTCCACTGTACCCAGCTCACTTCTACCCACACAGAGCTGGGGAAGTGAGAGCCGCCTACCATGCCTGCACATTGGCACCTGTCAGCACTGGGGGCTCCACTCACTA